ATATATATATATGTTTGTATGTATGTATATACACGCACACGCACACAAACACACATATGTGTGTGTGTATGTGTGTATCTATGTATGTATGTATGTATGTAGTATTTGTGTAGACAAAGGCAACAGTAAAATATTGGGCTTTCTGTCTGGATGGTCTCTTGAGACGAGCCGATGGACAGAATGGAAGCAGTTAGCTTCCTCCCATAATTGGGCCATACCAGGGATTGTGACTTTATATATATATTTATATATATATTTCAAAAATAGGGTTTTTGTGAAAAATGCTTTGTTGACATCTCATATGAGTTTAATGTTTTTTTACATGATTCAATAAATACTCTGCAAATGCATTGATTTTAATTTGTAATAGGACATCAATATACAAACAAAAGTGTTTTGGGGTCCTCCATAGTTTTTGTAAAAGTGGGAAGGAATCCTAGGTGCAAAAAATTTAAGAAACACTAATTTAAACAATATATTCAGATAATTTAAACATTTAATGAATATTCCTTGTAAGGGTTGATATCTATCTACCTTATTTTCATTTGGCCTACCACTTTTTTTCTCTAGTTGATTTATAGCAATGTTTCTCAATTTTGGTAGTTTGAAGATAAGGGATTTGAACTCCTAGAATTATCCAGACAGCCATGTTGGCTACAGAATTCTGTGAGTTGAAGTCCACACATCTTCAAGTTGCCAAGGTTGCAAAACACTGATTTAAAGTCTCTGAGAACAATATTTTCTAAATTTAGCTTTCTCTTCATGCAACAACTTCTCAACCTACTCCCAAGTTCAACACATGATTTTAGTGCGGGATGTATTTCTTGCATGCTTCAGTGGGATTTGCTATATAGGGAATCATGGGAAATTAAGCATGGCACTGTGTTGCTTGGAAGCCAACTGTCTCTCATTACTTTCAGGATGCTCACCAGTATGCAGTGCTTTCTCATCAGTCAAGATAAGCGACATGATCCAGTTCTTCTGCCTGATGGTGTGACTGTAGTTCTAGGCAGGGGTCCAGAAACCCTTGTCACTGATAAGAAATGTTCCCGAACTCAAGGTCTGTAAGGTTTTCTCTTTTTTGAAAAGGTATCTGTTAACAAAACATTGCCTTCAGGAGCAGGTTTTTTTCTTACGAATGAAGGCAAATATATGTGTCCCAGGATAATGTTGGGTGATCGACCCAGATCCAACAGTGTTGTCTTCTGACTCTTCAGACTCATACTGGAATCTCTCTTCAAGAAACTTCTCTCTAGTAGAGTGTGTGCTTTGTGTTGTTTTGTGGGTGGTATTTATAAATTTTTTCTACTATCCCAGTTATTTCACTGACTGTCATAACATTTGGTGTGGCTGAAGTTGTGTACCATGTTTTGAATTCTCCCTGTGCAATATTATAATTGGAAAAGAATTGGTATTCTGTATAAACCATGTGAGGAATGTTGAAATTTAGCTAAGATTCAATTATCTGGGCTGTTACAGAAACTTGCATCTTTCCCTATGTTTTACCTTTTAGAAATCCAAAAGCTTTAATATTTTTGTGCTCTATTTTTCTTATTTTGGCTATCTTTTCAATTTTCATTTTTTTTTTCCAATTTACTTTATTTGTATGCCGCCCTTTTCCCTGA